TAAAAACATTATTAATTTTTTTGTGTGTGTGTGAGGAAGACCAGCCCTGAGCTAACATCCAATGCCAATTCTCCTCTTTTTGCTGAGGAAGATTGGCCCTGGGCTAACATCCATGCCCATCTTCCTCTACTTTATATGGGATGCTGCCACACGCACGGCTTGACAAGCGGTGTGTCAGTGTGCGCCCGGGATCCGAACCGGCGAACCCCGGGTCGCTGCAGTGGAGCGCGCGCACTTAATCTCCTGCGCCACCGGGCCAGCCCCTGTACTTTGCCATTTTCACTTAAAAATATATTCTGGAAATTGCCTCACGTCAGTTTATAGATATCTTCATTCTTTTTTGCAACTGCATAGTACTCCATTGTGTGTATGTACACAGTTTACCAAGCCAATATCCTATATTTGGGCATTTAAGTAGTTTCCAGTATTTTGCAAATACAGATAATGCTGTAGTGAATAACTTTGTGCGTATGTATTTTCATATTGTTGGAGGTGTCTTGTAAGAATAAATTTCCAGAAGTGAGAGTGCTATGTCAAAGGATAAATGCATTGTAGTTTTGTTAGATATTGCCAAATTCCCCTCCATAGGAATTGTGCCATTTTGCATTCCCCCAGAAATGTATGAGACTATTTCCCCATAGCGTCTTTCCTCGTAGCATCTTTTGCATAGGCAAATGATCTGGTTGGATGAACTGCAGAAGTTGGGTAATAAAGTAGAAGTCTTATGTTATTGTCAAGCTTTTGACCTTTTCCACAATATCATATAAATGGAATATTGTATAAATGGCTCTCACATAAATGGAATCATATAAATGGATATTGGAATCTAATATCATATAAATGGAATCCACAATATCATATAAATGGAATCCATTTCCATATAGTAAGTGGAATCATATAACCAGTTGAGGTGGTTTCTTTTACTCAGCGTAATGCCTTTGAGATTCATTGATGTTGTTGTTTGTACTTATAGTTCATTCTGCATTCTGTTATATGGCTATATCACAGTCGGTTCATCCGTTCTCCCACTGAAGGACATGCAGGCTGCTGTTTCTAGTTTTTGGTGATTATGAATAAAGCCACTGTGAACACCCATGTACAGGTTTTTGTGTGAACATCAGATTTAGTTTTTTTTTAGGGTAAATACCTGAGTGGGATTGCTAGCTCATATAAACACAGTGTTATATGTGTCATATGAACACATAACCACAAATAAGTATGTGTTTATCTTTTAAAAAACAAAGACCAGCCAAACTGTTCTCCAGAGTGGCCTTTCCATTGTACACTCTCACCAGCAACGTGTGTTCATCTTGCTCCAGTGCTTGGTGTCGTGTTTTTAAACTTTAGCCATTCTGACAGGTGAGTGATGTCATCTCACTGTGTGTTTAATCTGCATTTCCCGAATGGCTAACGATGTCAAACATCTTTTCATGTTCTTTTTTTTTTTTTTTTAAAGATTTTATTTATTTTTTTTCCCCCAAAGCCCCAGTACATAGTTGTCTGTCATAGCTGCACATCCTTCTAGCTGCTGTATGTGGGACGCGGCCCCAGCATGGCTGGAGAAGTGGTGCCTCCGTGCGCACCCGGGATCCGAACCCGGGCCGCCGGCAGCGGAGCGCACGCACTTAACCGCTAAGCCACGGGGCCGGCCCTCTTTTCATGTTCTTATTTGCCACCTGTATATCTTCCTTGGTGAAGTCTCTGTTCAAATCTTTCATGTATTTTTCGTTGGGCTGATTCTGAACAAACGTCCTCTTTGGAATATGTGATTTGCAAATATTTTCTGTAGGCTATAGCTTATTCTTTTCATTTTCTTTCTTTCTTTCTTTCTTTTTTTTTTTTTTGTGAGGAAGATCAGCTCTGAGCTAACATCTGTTGCCAATCCTCCTCTTTTTGCTGAGGAAGACTGGCCCTGGACTGACATCCGTGCCCATCTTCCTCTACTTTATATGGGATGCCACCACAGCATGGCTTGACAAGCGGTGCATAGGTATGTACCTGGGATCTGAACCTGCGAACCCCAGGCCACTGAAGCAGAGCACACGCACTTAAGCACTACGCCACCAGGCTGGCCCCATCTTTTCATTTTCTTAATAGTGTCTTTTGAAGAGTAAAAGTTTTTAAATTGGTGAACTTTTTATCAATTTTTTATTTTATGAATTGTGCTTTTGGTCTCATATCTAAGAACTATTTGCCGAAATAGAGTCACGGATTTTTCTCCCATGTTTTCTTCTAAAAGTTTTATAGTTTGGTTTACAATTAGATATATAACCCATTTTGAGTTAAGTTTTGTATAAAGTGTGAGGTTTAGGTCAAGGTTCTTTTTTGCATATAAATATTATTTAGCATTTCTTTTATAGCATGTATGTTGGTAACAAATTCTCTTAGCTCTTCTTCATCGGAGACTGTCTTTATTCCTGAAGGATATTTTTGCTGGATGTAGAATTCTAGGTTGACAGTTGTTTTCTTTTAGTACTTAAAAGATGTTCCACTGCCTCAAGACCGTCATAGCTCTGATGCGAAGCCCACAGTCATTTGAATGTTTGTTCCCCACTATGTAATCTGGCTGCTTTCAAGACTTTTTCTTTGCCTTTAGCTTTTAGGTTTCAGTTTTATTATGATGGACATGTCTGGGCAAGAATTTCTTTTTGTTTATCCAGTTTGGGATTTGCTGAGCTTCTCAAATCTATAGATTTTATCTTTTATCCACTATGAGAAGTTTACAGTCATTTTTTTGTTCAGATAGTTTTTCTGCATTGCATTCTTTGTCCTTTGCTTCTGGGATTCAAATCACAGAAATATTAGGCCTTTTCTTACTGTCCCACAGATCCCTGAGGCTCTGTTTGTCCCCTCTCTCTCTTTCTTTTTTCCTCAGTGTTTTTTTCTCTCTCTTGTTCAGGTAGAATGAAAAAATCCAGAAAGCAACAAACAAACTAATTTCCCCACTCTCTGTCTTGTAAAGACTCCTGACTCCTGCTCCTCAGGTTGGAAAGAGAGGACTTCTTTAGAAGCTCTTCATATTTGCACCCAGTGTGCAGACCAAGGTTTCACATTTTAGGCTGTCCCTGAGTCTAGGCCAGGAGATCTCAGAGAAAATAAAAAACAGGAAACTCACTGCCGGTTTGGTGGTACTTAGAGTTCCCCGGTCAGCCTGCTAGCTTATTCTTCTGAGTCCTCACATAGCTTTTCCGTGCATTCCATCTTGGATTCTTAGTTGCGTTCAGTGGGAGACACAGAGTGAAGTCTGCTTACTCCAAAGGATTTTTCATCAATAAGCTCATTTGGAAACAGTTTAAGTGGAAGATTATTTAGAGAAATTCTTCAAGCAGGGATAGAATACCCAGTGAAGAATGTGAATAAACTAGATTTCTTTTTTTTTTTTCCATTTCTTTGTCTGTTTCCAAAAACTTTCCTCAAACCAGCCATCTAGTACGTTTTCCAAATCTTGATTTTAAAATTCAGACATTTGGACGTGATTTTTTTTTAAAGTATTGATTTCAAAACCAATATTTTTCTTTTTATTATTAGTTTTTGAAGAGAGATATTTTGATGTGTTATCTGGACATTTTGACCAAATGAATGTGACTTTTGGATCTGATAACTGTCATTTTGAGTAGAATTTGTAATTATTATTGAGTGATCCTCATTAACTTGAGTTTTAACATAGGTGCTCCTTAAACAACTTCTTTAATCAATTATTCAGTATAAGAATAATGAAACATATAATAAAATAAAACCAACTTAATTAAGGCTGTATAAAGCCAGCAATATTTATTATGACTGATTCCTGAGCTTTGTCATCTGATCTATGCTGTCTGTCCTCCATGTTCATTCAGGAGTTGCTTCATTCAAGGATATCCAAATGGCCATTAAAAAGGGTTTCAACTTCGTTAGTCAGCAGAGAAATATAAAATCAAACCATAGTGCGATACCATCAAAAAAGCTAAAATGAAAAACATAGTATCAATTATTGGCAAGAATATGGGGTAACTAGAACTCTGATACTGCTGGCAGGAGCCTTAAATTGGTATAACCATGTTAGAAAATGATTTGGCAGTATCTTCTAAAGTTAGTCCTAAATGTGAAGACCCTAGGACTAGCAATTCTGTCTCCTGATATATGACAAACAGAAATGTACACATACGTTTGCTAAAAAGAATGTGCAGGAGTGTTCCAAGTGGTCTATTTATATGAGCCAAAAACTGGAAACTACCCAAATGCATATCAGCTGTAGACCAGTTTGATAAATTGTGTATATTCACACAATGGGATACTATACAGAGGTGAGAATGAATGAAGTACAGCTGCTTGTAACCACATGAATAAATCTCACAAGCATGATGTTCAATAGAAGAAGCTTATGTCTTGACCTGGATGTTGGCTACCTGGGCGTATTCACATGTGAACATTCATCCCTCTCTACACTTAGGATTTGTGCAGTTTTCTGTATATATATTATATACTTCAGTAAAAAAGTATATTAGATGAATCAGGTCTTGATTTGCTTGTTTTTTAAAGATTGACTTTAATGTATCTATTTGTTACTGGCCTCTTATTGATCTTGTTAGATGGAGTGGTTTCTCAGTTGATACTCTTGGTTATTATAGGTAGACGATCTCTTCATCAGAAAACTAGGATGGGTGTTATACTCGGGAGAATAATTTTTTTAATGCCAAAAACCATAGAGAATTGATTTTTAAATGGCTCAGATATCTTCAAAGTAAAAAGTGAAGCCTGTTGCGTACAGAGCCTATCTTAAGGACCTTGTGTCTCCCTTGCTGTTTCCATGAACCAGTGCAGCATGAGAACCCAGATGGCAGCAGAGCAGACTGGCGTTTGTGTTGACCCTTTTAACTGAGGGGCCTTTCACATTATCTTCATAATAAAGGTGGATGCAGCTAACTGCTAGTCACGTAACACAATTCTGTTTGTCCCCCCCAACCCCTTCGTTTTGTTTTAGAGGTTTTTTGTTGTTTGTTTGTTTGTGTTTGTTTTTGCAGATCTTTTCACAGATGCTGCTGAGACTGAAAAAATGGCCAAAAGTTTGGAAGATTCTGAAGGAGTTTATTTTGTTCCATCTTTTAGTGGATTGCAGGTATTTTTTTTAAAGTTAATGGCAATTACAGACATTTCTCTCCTCATACCCACACTCACAATTGTGTATCTGCCACTCACTTACCTGAAAATTTGGGTATTGAACAGATCTAAGGGGAAGGGACATTCTAGGGCCGAGAGCCGTGCTTTGACCTAGTGTGCATTCCACGGAGAGCAGAGCAAATTCAGCTGGCTTCTGCTCAGAACTCCGTCCCTGTGGAAACTAAAAGTTGGCAGGTTTATCATAGAACTTTTACAGAAGACCTAGGATTACTTTATCATGATCAAAAATAGCCATTTCTCAGTGGTGGAAAAATCTATCAGTAAATTGGCATTCTTCACTTAGAGGAAGCATACCATTGAGAATTAGAAAAATAATGTTAAGGCACACATGTACGCATATATGAGTGTGTATGTTTTGCAGTTATTTATTTATAAGTTCCATTAACTTTTTTTTTTTTTTTTTTTTTTAAAGATTTTATTTATTCATTTTTTTCCCCCCAAAGCCCCAGTAGACAGTTGTATGTCGTAGGTTCACATCCTTCTAGTTGCTGTACGTGGGACTCGGCCTCGCGTTGGACGGAGAAGCGGTGCCTCCGGGCGCGCCCGGGATCCGAACCCGGGCCGCCAGCATCAGAGCGCACGCCCCTAACCGCTAAGCCACGGAGCCGGCCCCATTAACTTCTAAAAAATCAAAATTTCTTTTGGTTAACTGTTGTGGTGGCATATTGGTCACTTTGCCTAATAAAAAAATGAACCCAGTAAAAGGCTTGATTTTGTAACATTTAACTTTATGTTTAATTGAAAGATCTGTGATGCTGCCTCTAATTTTAACGTGTTGTAACAAAGACTTTTCAAAAACTGTTTTCAGGTATATTATTATTAACAAAATTTCTTTTTTTTGGAAAGCTTATACTAGTCCTTTTAATCCTCCTCTAAATATTTTTTCTGTTCAAAAAATAAAAATTTTTGAGCCAGCCCTCATGGGCTGTGGTTCCACACTGGGCACAGAACCACACCACTCATCTGTCACTAGCCATGCTGTGGCGGTGGCTCACATAGAAGAACTAGAAGAACTTACAAGTATACACAACTACGTACTGGGGCTTTGGGGGCGGAAAAAGGAAGAAAAAGGGAGGAAGATTGGCAACAGATGTTAGCTTAGGGCAAATTTTCCCCTGCCAAAAAAAAAAATTTTTCCTTGCTTCTAGTCCATCCCATACTCAGGCAATCAGTTTCAAAAAGTCCAAAATTTGAAAATTTGTGTAATGTAGAAGCTTGTGAAAAAGAATTAGATCAAGTGTTTTAAATCTCTAAAAATATAATATTTCCAAGCTAGATTATTAAAGGAGCATTATTTTAATTTCTGTAATAATTTCCTTGTATATACTTATCCTAAAGGACTAAAAGTTTATAAACTACGTAGATTGCATTGTATCCTCTTCAGGGTGATGTGAGGCAATTAAATAGCATCCATGATAGGACAAGGGGTGAGGCATATTTGTCTGATCGAGGTTTCAGGCGGATGTTAGATGAATAGTTGTCATCAGCAAAAGTAGGATTTAATTAGGCTAATATGTATTCTTCCCTTTTTGAAAAATGTGCTGAGGGACTTAGTAGTGACTGTATCTTGGCAACTCTGCCTTTAACTTCTCCATCAATTCATATGCTTGTAAAAGTAATATAAAATATAAAAAAAAAAAAAAGTATTGCTAAAGCCCTGAAGATTAGAGAAAACTATCACAGATGTAGTTTTTAACTTCCTATTGATAACAAAATGTCCCTGTCCTGCCATGATTGTAACCTGGCAATATGTTGGGGTCAGGCTCGGGGAGGATTGTAGGCCAAATATTTCCCGGTGTAAAATGAAACTCTTAACTGGAAACCGAAAGTAAATTCATACAACAATAGTGTGTTGATACAAAGCTGTTTGGAAAAGAGGAGGGAGATCACCTGTAAGTTGCCTATGTTGACAACTAGAGAAAATGAGGGAGGGGAGAATGGAAGGAAGGAAGGGAGGGAGGGTCAAGTATCTGTGACGCGGCCTTTAATTTTAGAATATCGTTTCAGCTGTAGATAATGGGGGGCAGGATATTAAAGGCTCCTAATAGCCTCAATTTCTCAAGGGAGTCTGCTGAGAAAGGAGCATTGGAGGAACCTTGAGTGGGAAAGTCTGGGATGCCCGCTTCAGGGAATGGCCGAAGGGGTGGACTGGAGCATGGGGGACGTACACTGGAGGTGGCATCAATTGATACAGCCATTGTGGCTTTGCTCTACAGGGCTGTGGTTTGGGGAGGGCGATGCTAACGTAAAGTATCCATGACAGATCTTGGAGGCAAGACTCAGTGGTCGTCTACTTGACGTTAAAATTACTGTGATGCTGGCAGTGGTAGGATGGATGGGACTGTAAGCAAGTGCCAGTCTTTAGAGGATGAGGGGTCATGCTGCAATGAGGGTTCTTAGGTTTGCAAGGAACAGGCTTGCTTAAGCTGCCCCTGAGGGAGCTGGTGGTTCACATCCTCCTGAGGACTGGGATTGCGAAGGAGGCGACAACTAACTGCAGTTGTTGCTGTTCTTCTTTGCGGTTTCTGCTTCTCTGTGAGTCTGCTTTTCCCTTCTCATTACCAGCTTTGCTCTGTGTCCTTTCTTCCTCATAACTTCTACTTAATCGTCAGTATCTTCCTTATACTTTCTGCTTCTTCACAATTTGGAAATACGCACAACCTTCTTCCACCTCGTGCACCCTTTTGACTTCAGTTCCCTCTGTCGATGGTCTTTTTCTCAGTGTTTCCTAGTCCATATTTCCAAGGGAGGGAATCTGATTGGACAACTGTGTCTTTTCAAGCTTTGGAGACTTTGAGTCGGTTGTGTTCGCCCCACAGGTGTGGTGGTAGCTGGGGGACTAGGGTATGAGACATGGCTGCGTCAGACAACAGGGTCTGTGGATTCAAGCGGTTTCCTTAGAAGGGGATGTGGCCAGCAAGTACTGTGAATGCTGTCTCTCGTTCTGTGAGTTCCTAGGATGTCTGAGTGGTGAAAAGGTGAAGGGAGACGTAGCACGATGTTGATGTAGCCCTAAGCAAACATGGGGGAAGGGCAATGTCTCTACCAGTAGGTGCATAGTGGCCTAGAGTGGTCATGGGAAGTTAGTGCAGAGTCCTCTGGTTCCTGTGGCATGGAAGCCTGAGACCCCTCCACTAAATAGCTACAACTAAAGCCATTTGCCCAGCGCAGGGCCAGTTTGTTACAGCAGGTACAACATAAGTGGAGGGAACTTCTCAGAATGGTTAAGGGTTAGGGGAATTTTTTTACAATAAAAGGAAGAGTTCAGAAGGCACAGTGAAAGTGTTATGAAGAAAGTCAGTAGTGGTGGGGAGGGTTTGGGTAAGAAATAATAATAACAATTGTAGTGGCAGTCAACCTGTGAATTCTTACTGTGTGTCAGGCATGGTCCTAAATTCTTTACATGCATTATCTCATTTTATCGTCAGTTAACTCAACAAGGTGGAAGATACTCTTATCATCCCATTCGGAAGATGAGGAAACTGAGAGTTAGAGCTGTTAAATCACTTGCCCAGTGTCACACAGCTAGTGAGGAGCAGAGCTGGTTTTAGGAGCTAGGTGTTCTGACTCCAGAGTCCAGGTTCTGAACCACTCTGCCGTCCTGTTTCATGGTATGGCATAAAATATGACAACAGGAATGCACAGTAGATGCCAGGGGAACTGGTGTTTAGGGTCTGGGTTGACAAGGACAAGAGGCATGCTGGCATTAACCATCCTGCAGGTCCCCAGCAGATTAGGCCGAGATCCCAGCGGTGGCAAGGGCCTGCTGAGGCAGGTAGTCTGTGCCTTGGGCAGGAGTCTGCTAGTTTTGCTCAGGGCTCCAAACACAACTTTGCTGAGTCCTACTGTTCCTAGTGATTTGATGGGCTGGCAGGCTTGCTCATGGGATTGGCAGTGACAGATTAGAGGTGGTGCTGGAGGCTGTCTGCCCTGGCGAGGTGTGCCCAGGCCCTTTAAAGGACCTTCCCAGTGTTTTTCCTATCATATCATCCCCAAGACAGACTTGCTTGGATTAACCAATGCAGGGACGTCGTAACCTATGAAGAAATTTCTAGGTTTCTATGGAATTTATTACCTCTCAAATTGGCCTATTATTAATAATAAATTGTGTGCATAGCTTTTTGCACAAAAGTAATTTCACGCCAAGCATACCAAGATTTTATGTGGTATATTAGAAGAAGTAATTTTTATGCAGAAAAAACATAGCATAGTACCAGGGACTGCTGAACTAGCTGAATCTGACCTATCTTTGTTTTACAGTATTACGTCATCTGATATAGACCAGATTTACTGTATATATCAGCTTTTACTGACTGAATCACCAAAAGATGTTAATAAGTTTGAAAAATTATCAAGATAAAATCATAGTAGGGCCGGCCCCGTGGCTTAGCAGTTAAGTGCGCGCGCTCCGCTGCTGGCGGCCCGAGTTCGGATCCCGGGCGCACACCGATGCACCGCTTCTCTGGCCATGCTGAGGCCGCGTCCCACATACAGCAACTAGAAGGATGTGCAACTATGACATACAACTATCTACTGGGGCTTTGGGGGAACAAAAAAAATAAAATTAAAAAAAAATCATAGTAGGAGGAAAATCAGAGCTACAGTGAAGATAAGATGTAATGTAGAATTTCTTCAGTTAAGTAATCAGGAGAAGTATTGTTTGTTCGTTGATTCAACAAACGGATATTGATCCCCTCTGGGGACCAGATACAATGCTAGGCCCTGGAGACACACAGTGAGCATGTTGCATGAGTTTCCACCTGCGGCACTTATAGTGTAGCAGGGAAGATGGAGTGTCAACAAGCAATCACACAAATATATTTGATTCTAAACTGAGGTACATGATGTGATGAGAAGTTATAGGGTTCCATAAAAACATATAATGGGGGATCTGTCCAGTCTCTGGGGTCAGAAGTTTTCCCAGAGGCACCTGAGCCAAGATTTGGAGGGGGAGCAGGATCAACTAGGGGAAGGGGTGGTAGAAAGCTTCCAGGTAAAGAGATGAGGCATCCAGGCCCTGAGGCTAGAAGGTGCCTAGGTCTGGGGACCATCATTTCCCCACAGCACTAGCATGTCTCCCTGTCATGACCTTATGTAGGTGTGTTGGAACTGTCTCTTTCCTTGTGAGGCTGCGAGCTCTGGCAGGGAGCTTTGTTTTTCATCTTCTTGTCCCAGAATTGTCTTGCATTTCTGGGGCCGCAAAAATGAATACAAACTTCATCTAATGAAAACATAATTCTAGCTCAAGATTTTGGCTCCTTTAAAGACAGATGTTAGGCTGATTTTAGGCAATAAGACTTTTAAATAGCTAAGAAATAGAAGAGTTTAGTTTGAATGTCTGACAACATATTGGGTATAAGTTATGACACGGAAAAACATTTTTTTGCATTATCGTTTTTTATCTTAAGTCGAACTTATATCCTCAAAAAGCCACTCTACATAGTAAACAATTTTAGTGTAAAAACTTTACATTTGGAGAAGAGGGGAAATACTAGGATTGCTTTTCGTTGTCCTCATTTATAAAGCTAGGCATTTAATAACATTTTTTGCTCATGGCCGGCCCAGTGGCTTAGCGGTTAAGTGTGCGCGCTCCGCTGCTGGTGGCCCGGGTTCGGATCCCAGGCGCGGACCCACCCACCGCTTCTCCGGCCATGCCGGGGCCGCGTCCCACATACAGCAACTAGAAGGATGTGCAACTATGACATACAACTATCTACTGGGGCTTTGGGGGAAAAAAAAGGAGGAGGATTGGCAATAGATGTTAGCTCAGAGCCGGTCTTCCTCAGCAAAAGGAGGAGGATTAGCACAGATGTTAGCTCAGGGCTATCTCCCTCACGGAAAAAAAAAAAAAAAAAAAAAAATTTTTTTGCTCAGTGCCCTTTTCTTGGTATGAGCTCACAGAGGAGGTCCAGCTAAGTCCAGTATCTGAATACAAACTTCATCTAATAGTTAACATGTTAACATGTTTTAGGCTGTCATTTATTTTAAAACTACTTAACTCTAAATAAGCACTTTTTTCCTAACATGGCTATGTTTTTATTGTATAATATGTCTTCAACTCTATAGACATAATTTAGAACAATAATAATATATTCTTACTATCTCTCACTTTAGGCTCCATTAAATGACCCCTGTGCATGTGCCTCTTTTATGGGTTTGAAGCCTTCCACCAGTAAATACCATCTCGTACGAGCAATATTGGAGTCAATAGCTTTCAGGTACCAAAACCTGCCCTAAACTCCCCCTTCCCCATACAGTATTGCCATTTCCTTATATTAATTTCTACTAAACTAAATTAAGAAATTTCTTAATTTTAGCTCAGTGTTTTTACCTTTATTTTGATTCATACTGTGTATGATATAATCTGTTCTTATTGCTAATTTCCTTAGCATCTCTTATTTTTTTAGTACTTAATAGTACCAATACCACTTATATTTGATATGTGAAAACTGAATGGTTTTTAAAAATATCCAATTTCTTAAGTATAAAAGATTCAAAATTTGGACTTTCAAATATTTTTGTATTTTTATTCAGGAAGGAGAATTCTAACTATTAATGCTTCTGTTATACTCAAAGATTGAATCATCAAAATTATTCTTTATATATATTTCCCTGTGGTCTTTTTGTTATGGGGCAGGTGTAGCTTATTAAAATTAAGAGGCAGATGGGCACAGGTGTTAGCTCAAGGCTAATCTTCCTCAGCAAAAAGAGGAACATTGGCAACAGATGTTAGCTTAGGGCCAATCTTCCTCGCAAAAAAAAATTAAATTAAGAATGTGGCTGTCATAAATGTGGAAAATTTGTAATGTTTAAAATAAAATTTTCTGTGATTATGAAATGATTACTTTTGTATTTGATGAATTGTATTAGATGTTATTTATGGTATATCATCTTAATATCTCTCTATTAAATGGATGCTTGCTTTAAATTTTTATTTCTAGGAATAGAAATAGGTTAAATTTAGTCCTAAAATAAAAATTATGCTCTTTTGTATCAAGGTAAAAAGCTCAAGCCCTGAGCCTATTGCTTATTTGAGCATCTGTTAACAACTTCCAGTTAGTGTAATTTATATTTCTTTAATACTTTCTTTTGTATATTTTATAAATCGTGTAAATAAAACCACACTTTTTATTTTTCTAGATTGGAGAAAAATAGAGAATTATCATGATATGAATTTCCTCTAAATAATCTTGTTTTTTTAACTAGAAACAAACAGTTATATGAGTTGATGCAGAAAGAGATCCATATTCCCGTAACAAAAATCCGGTATGTAAACTATGTTTCTAACAGATTTAATTAGAAATTAGAAGTAAGTAGTAGCTACTATTAGTATTTTCATCATTATAATTATCCAGGATTTCAAAAAAGAACTTATACCTAGCTTCTTTGCAACAAAATTCTTCATCATAGGAATTTGGAAAAGAAAGGAAAGCTAATTTTGGATTTATGGAGAATATAGCACACTACAGAATTTGGGAGGATCTTAACACCCATATATGTATTATAAAGACCTTTAAAATCTCTTTTTTGGGTGTGTGGATATCCTTTTGGCATGGAAGCATCAAATTTTGTTTGCTGGAATGTCTAAATGAGTTTTTATGTTGGCTTAGTTCACTTGGCCTGTTTTCAACTAGTCCCAGGACAAACAGGGCAAGTGGGAAAATTGATGGCAGGAATAAGGAAAAATGTTTAAAGATTACCTAGTAATGTCCTCTATCTTCAGGTCAATACTAAGTGATATAATTTTGGAATTAAAGAATTAAACTTAAAAAATAAAATCAAGGATCTGAAAAAATATGTGGGAGCCAGCCCTGATGGCCTAGTGGTTAAAGTTCAGCGCACTCCACTTTAGTGGCCTGGGTTCGGTTCCACACTACTCGGGACCACACTACTCGGCTGTCAGTAGCCATGCTGTGGCGGCAGCTCACACAGAAGAACTAGAAGGACTTACAACTAGAATATACAAGTATGCACTGGGGCTTTCGGGAGGGGAAAAAAAAAAGAGGAAGATTGGCAACAGATGTTAGCTCAGGGCGAATCTTTCCCAGCAAATAACAAAACGTGGCCCATTTAGAAAGATTTTGTAATGACGTTGTGCTTTTGTTGCAGTAATTCATCTCACATCTCTTCCTCCCCTCAGGGCAGATGGAGGAGTCTGCAAGAACAGTTTTGTCATGCAGATGACAGCAGACCTGATTAACGAGAGTATAGACAGACCCGTCCATGTTGACATGTCGTGCCTTGGTGCAGCTTCTCTAGCTGGCCTTGCTGTTGGTATGTGTGGATTTTATAACAAGAGCTTTCTTGCAAACTGTTTCTTCCAGATAGCATTTCTCCTCCCAAATCACAAAATTATAGAGAGGGTCTGGAAAGCCTTAGTGTCCATTTGAGCTCCATACACGTCTGCATATTGCTCACAAAATGCTCCTGTGACCTCTGTGGGTGGGTCCGTTTGCACCTCCTTACTTCACTCCTTCAGTCAGAAGTATGAGGCAAGGACAGTTCATTCTCAGCTGCTTTGGTCTTTAGCAAGGAAGGGTCTCTGGGTAAACTTTCTTTCTTTTTTTTTTTTTTTGGAGTTTGATGGCTATAAGTTAATGAGCTTAGTTTTTTTTTTTTCCTCATTTTTTGTTTATTGCAGTAACGTTGGTTTATCACATTGTAAAAATTTCAGGTGTACATCATTATACTTCTATTTCTGCATAGATTACATCATGTTCGCCACCAAAATACTAATTACAACCCATCACCACACACGTGTACCGAATTATCCCTTTCACCCTGCTCCCTCCCCCCTTCCCCTCTGGTAACCACCAATCCAATCTCTGTCTCTATGTGTTTGTTTATTGTTGGATGGACATTGAGGGTATAATGCGAAGTGAAATAAGTCAGAGGGAGAAGGTCAAATACCGTATGATTTCCTTCATTAAGTAGTAGATAATAACAACAATAAACAAACACATAGAGACAGAGATGGGTAAACTTTCTGAGTAGATAGGCTTGTCTTTGGCATTAACCACTCCATTTTATTTATTAAACAACTTGTGTTGAGTACGCTGCTATATGACAGTCACTGCTGGGAATAAAGAGTTTAAAAGACATAGTCCCTGCTGTGGGAGTCTCTGGTGGGTGCAGTCAGACAGGTCAACCAGTTATTAAACTTGGTCTGATAAACGCAGTGAACAGCCATAGTATTGAGCAAGTGGTATAGGCTTCCCAGAGGAGGCAACATATAGCTCAGTTTTGAATGAGTTACCAGACAGCCGGGTGAGGAGAGGATAAGAGGTGAATGGTCCAGTAGAGAAGGCAGCTCGTGCAAAGGTACTGGCCCATTGCGGGGAGTGCTGATACGGGGGGTGCCAGAGAAGAGGCTGGAGAGGTGTGTAGAGGTCCAGTGGTGGCGGACTCCTCATAAAGAGGACTTTGGACTTGATCTTGAAGGCATTGGAAAGCCACTGAAGAATTTTAAGCAGGGGAGGGACATGGACAGATCTACATTTGAACAGATCACTTTGGCAATTAGTGAAAGGATTAGTTGGCAGGGCTAAAGAATGGAAGTAGAGAGGCCAATTAGGGGGCCCCCTAGGAAGTAGGATGATGCTTTGGGACACTGGGATTATTTTAATGTGATATGTAGAAGAGTGTGCAAAACAGGATATTTTACAGTTAAAAGTTTTAGGCTAATATTTAGCATGTTAAAGTTACAAATCCAAAAAGCGTGAAATCTTGGTAAGTTCAATTTAAACTTTATTCTACTAAAAATCTGTTAATTTAAAATAATAATACACTCGCTTCCATTTGTTCATTGATTAGTGTTTGATTAATTCAAGTTGAAGAAAATAAGTTTCTTTTAAATAATCATTTCTATTTACATATTTAGTTAAATTCCTTTGTATATTTCAACTCTTATAAATGTAATATAGTTGATTTTCTTTTTGATAATTTCACATGCCTAACTGAGCAAATTTCTAACTGTAACAAGGAAAACCTCAAGTGCTTAAACAACTCTTGCAAAGTGAATAAATTAGTCTTGTAATTACAGTGAATCATTCTCATAAACATTCTAATATTATTTATAAGGTTAATCAAATTCTTCTACACTTTTCACCTTATAAAACTAAATATGTGAGATTCTTTTGACATTTACAATACTTTAAATAACAAACACAGGCATATTATTCTTACATATAACATGGTAGCTTGAGTTTTATCTACTTCATTATACCTATATTTAATTTCAAACCTTTCAATACAAAGATGCTTCCCTAACTACAAGGAGCAGTGTCACCTTCTCAGAAAAGCTAAGATATCTGGTTGGATTGCTTCTCTCTCAGAAATTTGAGACCTGAAGCCTGTGCACATTGTCTGTATTTTCGAAATTCACCCAGAAACTGGGGTCTATTTGATACATATTTAATAAAATGACTTTTAAAAATATACATGTATGTCTTAAAGTGTAAATAAATTCTGGAAATAAGGATTTTAAGAACATATTTATTTTCATGACTAGATTTATCTAACTGTAGTCTACTAATAAAAACTATTTTTAGTCTTTTTAAAACTTCTATAAATTAATTAATATATTTAAATATAGATAGTCTAAAATGCTGACTTTGTAAATAGAAAGAATGTGACCTGACAGAAAATTTTAGAAGGAAGAATTTTATGTGTCACCTTTATTGGTAAGAGAAAATGTATGTCACAAAGACTTATCAACTACGTTAGTACTTCAGAGTGGGTGAGATGTATCACGTGTATTAACAAGACACCTCTACCATTTCAGACTACTTATGATCACACTTATGAGTGTGTTTTCTTGCTGCTTTTTATTTTAAGTCACATGATCCTCTTTGTAAAGAACAATATATGCCAGAACTACAATATTATCTTGAACAAGAATTTAAATAACTTGTTTGAAATGCAGTAATTTGAAAAAGAAACTATTATATTAATTCTCAACTTTGAATTTTATGCATATCCCAGGGAGTTGCCTCTTTCCTCAAGATATATGACAAAAATCTTAATTTATCTTTGGTTTTTTTAGTTGTAAAAAAATGAAATATACTATTTCTCACTTTTTTTTTTTCTTAGTAGCAAGTCATGAAATGAAATGATGACAGGGTGTGGTTGCTCTAGAAATGATTCATGCCCTGCCACACACAAATAAAGCTGATCGTTAGAGACCAAAAGATTTTAAAATCCTGGTGTATTTATTCTCAGGGATAGTCAATCTAACAAAATTAAAAAGCAACAAAATATTTTGGATTGTGTTTTAAAATAATAGCTGTTTCCCTTTGCACCAATTCACTTAGTTTTATAGATAAACTTTATGGACTCATTATTTGCCTTAAAATTTGAGAATAATTTTTTCATCTGTAGGGTTTTGGACTGACAAGGAAGAACTAAAGAAACTGAGGCAGAGTGAAATGGTTTTCAAGCCACAGAAGAAATGGCAAGAATATGAAATGAGTATGGAAAACTGGGTCAAGGCAGTGAAACGCTCCATGAATTGGTATCACAAGACGTAGCACTATGCGGAAGGGCTGAAACTGGAAGTGGCCGGTTGCTGTGACACGCAGATGGGACAAAGCTCAGGGATAACCCATACGATGAGGACTGAGAGAAGATTTAAAGAGAGTTTTACACTCAGAGAGAAAAAGCATTGCTTTTTTGACACAAAACCAAAAAACCCTCATTTTTAAAAATCCAAACCTTGGTAAGATTGTAAGGCAACAATACCTCAGAACTTTGTATCTTTTGTTTTGTAGCAAATTCCAAAGAACATTAACCGTTTCCAACCACGTTTTGATGGTTATGGGTCCTCCTCCTTTTTATACTGAGTCAGTGGTAGATGTGAACATAATGGTTTACTATCTTTGAGTTAATAGTTCTAGGTCAAGCACCATTCACATTTTGTTCAAAATTATGTGAAAAGTATTCCTTTAATTCTTTAAAATTAAGTGGGCTACTCAAAGTCCATACAGCTAAAAAGAAAGAATAACTGAGGAAATGTGGAATTTTGAAACATTAATATTTTATATTTAAAGCCATAATTGTTCAATGTTGTATTATGTCCTTCTCAGGCTTATTTGATAGTCAGTTATTTACTTTTTTGGGCTTAAAGACACTGCCTTAATTGTTCCTTATTTAACCAAAATCTGAGCATTCTTTATGTATTGAAAAACATTGAAAAAATAATTTTAGTTAATGAAATTAAAAAAGGGTATTAATTCATAAGGAACAAGAAAAGACTACATTTTCCTTCTCAAATAGAGTTTCTTTCAAAAAATTCTAGCTAAAGCATGACATCCCATCTTTTACAAAATGCAGGAAGTAAGTATAATTCTTGCCTTTCTTCTCCTGTTCTTTTTCTTTTCAGTTGGTGAGATGCTTGCATAAATGTCTTTGTTTTTAGTAAGTGCCTAATTGACAGAGTTTAATTTGAAGAAAGTGCCCTAATTTATTGGTGACGTAAGAATTGCCTTCATTGGGGTATTTTACTTGTTCAAGTATCTTTTTTATTTTTGTCCAGTCTCTTCCTCTCTGAGATACATGCGATGGGTAGCTGACAGAGGTGATGGGAGTTCACTCATGTTAGTGACTGCTCTACGGCCACTGAGCCAGAGATCCCCAGAGAGGAGCAGGCACAGTTCTGCGTTCTCAGGCTTTCTTGATAGAAATATGAAGAGGAGTACGAGTTGTGAGTAGCTTCGGGCCAGGTGTAAAATTGTCCTAATGCAGGTGACCACCTTCCAACCTGCTCTCCTGTTATGTGCCCTGCCCTTCATTTGGGCTAGGTTCCTTTTGATTTGCAGCAATAATGAATTTATTTCCCTCTTGGTCAGGCTTTATCACATAACATCCTACTGTTATAGAGCTAGCTGTTAAATAATAACGTAATTGAAGTGACTATTACAGAGACTGTTATTGTTGCTGTCGTATATGTCCATTTCAGAGACAGTTAGAGATGAGAACTGGGGGTCAAATTGCATTTCTGCAAATTCCACTTCAGTGAACTTTAAGTGTCCTCTTAAATTATTAAGATTTTTTGATGGAGTCATTATAGTAAATATATAGTATCATTAACTCCATTAATTAAGATTTGGGAATATTTTTAAGTGGAGGTGTTTTGTTTACTCTAGTAAGTCAGATCCCATTGTGTAGATAATATCTTATTCTTCTTTTCATTTTTCCTGTTTTTTACATCCTTTTTACAAAGCTTAGTGGCCAATTAAAGGCTTTTTTATCAAAATCATATGAAAGCTGCTGTGTTGTTTTACTATTTCTTATAGACCCTGCTTCTCAGCAGGTATGATTTCATAGGAAATAATTCTGTCTTTTTTTATTGATATACTGAATTATAGTATTATTAATACCTAAAAGTTTGTTAGTTCATCTCCTCTATGTTCTTCTTTCTCGTCATAAAACCGCAAAGTAAATGATAAATATCTTTTAGATACTGTGGGAAAATAACTTAGCATATCTCTCATGGAATTGAGCATCTCCTCAAAAATCAGTGGCTAATTTTTTTCTTTTGTTAATCTTTATTTTTCGTATTTCTGGCTGTTTTTAGTGACACAGTTTAGTAAATCTTTTGTCAGATTTGACCTAAATCAGAAACGTGGCCACTTTTGCTTTTGTGGTTGTAGAAATAGTTGATAATCAAAAATCAATTGAGCAAAAAAAATTATCCTTTCCATCTTTCAAATTCATTTTTCAATTGTATGCTAATATTTGAAGTTTAAAACAATTTCTGTGCTAATGTATTTTACCATTATGGATCTATCAGATATTTTTAGGAGGTCTTGTAGCTATCTTATCAAGGAGGAGAATGTTCCTGTACAATCCTTCTTAAAGTGGTACTAATTGCTTTTATACTGTAGACTTACTGATTTTTAAATTTTTTATATCCAGCCATGACATGGTTTCTCACCCTGAGCACTGTTGACATTTTGGGACAGATAATTCTCTGTTTTAGGGTGCTGTGCTGTGCATTAGAGGATATTTAGCAGCGTTGCTGACCTCTACCGCTGACCCACTAGCTACCGGTAGGATCCCCCTAGTTGTGATGGTCAAAGATGTCTCCAAACGTTGCCAAATGTCCCCTTGGAGGCAAGATCCGCCCCCAGTGGAGAAGCGCTGATACAGACTGTTAGACGAAGACTGAGTACTCAGTGACTGTGGAGCGTCTATCATACTCCTTTACTCTCTGCCTTGTTTTTACCTTAGCAAGTGATTGTTAGCAAAAAGAGGTGGTAGTATCTTAAAATAAATAGGGTTTCTACTTTGCTGGTTAATGAGGTTGAAAAAAATCTCATGTAGGTGCCGGCCCGGTAGGGTAGAAGTTCACACGCTCAACTTTGGCGGCCCAGGGTTCGCAGGCCCGGATCCTGGGCATGGACCTATGCACTGCTTACCAAGCCGTGCTGTGGCGGCATCCCACGTATAAAGTGGAGGAAGATGGGCACGGATGTTAGCCCAGGGCCAGTCTTCCTCAACAAAAAGAGGAGGATTGGCAACAGATGTTAGCTCAGGGCTAATCTTCCTCACAAAAAAAAAATCTCATGTTGTAATTATCTTCTGCTGTTAGTATCCACCCATCCCCATCCCCACCCCTGCATCCTCTGTGGTCGCAATGAGTGGGTTCATGACTTCAGTATAGGATTAAGGCATTCTGCAGATCATCTTTGATTTGATCTGCTTTTTTGCTTGTTTTTCATCTCTGAACAGAGGAGATCACTCTCTCTTTCATCTGCCTCTGTGCAAGCGTCCACCAGACTAGAAGTTCCCTGAAAGCAGAAACCATATCTACTTCCACAGAACTCAACTCTGTGCCTTCACATCTGTGGGAATTTTAACTTTACGTTTCTAAGTGCAACTTTTTTTGCATATACGTTTTATCCTTGATGTTGCATACATTTGTTGATAGGGAGCAGCTCGTATGCGTTGCAAGTAAAATATGTTTTGTTGAATTAAGAAGGACTACTTTGTTATGAAAGCTAGAATCTTCAGGGCCGGCCCTGTGGCTTGGTGGTTAAGTGCGCGCGCTGCGATGCTGGTGGCCCGGGTTCGGATCCCGGGTGCGCATCGAGGCACCACTTCTCCGTTCATCCTGAGGCCGAGTCCCGCATACAGCAACTAGAAGGATGTGCAGCTACGACATACAACTATCCACTGGGGCTTTGGGGGGAAAAATAAAATAAATAAAATCTTAAAAAAAAAAAGCTAGAATCTTCATACTGTTGATTTAAAAATTCTTCATATGTTTATATATCCGCAAATGTCTTTGTGTAGAGATACACATCCATAAATACACATAGTCATATTAACTTTCTAAGGTATAATTGAAGCCTTTCTGTTCCCAGGTTGTATGTATTTGACTGCAGATGACTAACAGATTGAATCTTAAGAACAACAAACGCTCTGGTGTCAGAGGGAAGGAGTTTCAGAAATAGCCCCTTCTGCAAGGGACTTATCCTGGGGACCAGTCTTTAATTTAAAATAATCCAGTCCAGGAGTTTGGCAAGAAGTTTATAATTCTTTGAGGAAAGACATAGCTGGACCCTGGGGTTCTTCAATTTTAAGTGATTCTAGAGTCATTCCAGAGAGATCCTAGAAAGCTTGAATCTACCCCAAAGGATTTTGAATACCTTTGGGAAATTTAGATCATGTTTCTCAATTAGAATGAAAATCCCCAAACACACCCTGGACCTATCTGGTCCTAGAATCGTCTTGCACACCTGAAGCCAGGTCGTCTGGTTCAAACCAGTCGAAATGGATAACCCCAAAGAAGTCAAAGAGGGGATCCAGAATCACATGGGCTTTTTAAGTTTTGGAGCTTCAAAGTGATAAATATTTTGGCACCAGCATCTATTCTGAGTCACTGGCTATATTTTCACTGTATTCCTATGGGCCCATTCCTAGAGGAGTGCAGGAATGATCTTGGGAGTGGGGACGATAGAGGCAGGAACCTGCAGAATCAGATATTTTGGAAATTCTCTATTATTCTATTTCCACTTTCTTTCCCTCCCTTTACTATATATTTGGTTTATTAAAATAAAATGGCTATGTCTGTACACATATCTATGTTATTTAGAAAATATATGATACAAGGTTTCCAGTTTAAATGAGCCATATTTTCACAAGAAACTACCAAACTGTTTTCCAGAATAGTTGCACCATTTTACATTCCCACCAGCATGTGTGGCTGATCCAGTCTCTCCACATCCTCACCAGCATTTGATGTCACAATTTTTTATTTAGCCACTGTGATAGGTGTGTGTTTTTCTCATTGTGGTTTTAATTTGTATTTCCCTAATTAACAATGATGTCAAAATCTTTTCATGTGTTTTTTGCCATCTGTTTATCCTCTTCAGTGAAATATCTGTTCATATCTTTTGCCCATTTGCTAATTGGGTTGTTTTCTAAATGAGCCATATCTTTAAATATCTTTTTTTAAACTTTTTAAAAATTAGTCCAATGACTTGAGAAGTCATTAAGTAACATTTTCAAATCCTTGTAGGCAAAATGTATATTACATTTGAACATGATTTTATAATGTACTGAGCAGAAAGGTTCTCATATTCCTTCTGTACTCATTATATGGGGTGGTACTAATACTGTATAATAGCCAAAAAGTTTCAAAGATACCTTTACTTAGAATGTTAAGTAGAGTGTACAAATATATATTTTGTACATAGCTATCATAATGTTTATAATCTTTTTAATTTAAAATAAGCTGATTTGTTTAAATGTTTCAGAATGATTTAGTGGAAAATTAATTGGAAATTTTCCTATTTGTGCAAAACAGTTAATATAAATTCCAATTCATATGCATCAATAAATTCATAATCTTAGTTCTGTGATGTTCTTTATGAATTTCATAGTTTTATTAAATAGTCATTGAGAACCTCATAAACCATTGTTAAGATCTGTAGGTAAAATCTCGGATGCATTGCAATAGAAATATTTTTCATGTGTATGTGAATTTTTCCCTTACCTTTTGTCTACTTTAATTTTTGGATTTGTTTTTAAATTTTACCTGGAAATTCTTATTTAATACTATTTCCTGTTTGGGTTTCTGCACATTAAGAAGGTCACAGAGAAATAAGCATATGTTAACTATAGTTGTGGCTCAAGGTAAACTTGGGCTTAATATGGTTAAAGAAGAAAGATTTTCTGTAACCCTGCCTCTTTAGATCCTGTTTAGGTTTATTATTCTATATTCTACATTCTTGCACAAGGGAAATTACTAGAGAAGAGGGTTAACTCTTTGTGGTGAGAAAAAGATGATGTAATTCGTTGTGAAAATATACTGTATGTTTAAATATTTAGAAAGATTTTAAATAACTGGAGAAAAGATAATTTCAAATACTAATATGATGGAATTAACCTAGCAGCTGTTAAAAATCTCTTCTGAAAATTATCTAAAATTACTTGGAAAACTACAATGAAACAGTGAATGATTGATCTATGCATATTGTCTATTAAAGCCATTTTTATTTAGTGTTTCTCTGTTCATTGCTTTGGGTTCGCACACATATATAGCGATATCCGTATGCTGGAGGATTCAGTCAGACAGTCTAGATTCCAGTCTCTGACGGTAGTGGAGCCTCTTACCGTCTCTGAGCCCATGGTATCATTCCGTAGTAGGAAATTTGAAGATGATAAACATTGAGTTATTAGAAGAAAGGATGAGGTTTGGTTTTGATGTTTAGTTCAAAGTATGTAATAGTCTAATGAGAAGGACAAGGAAGGGGGCACTCCAGCATCACTACAGCGAGGGTGAGGGCAGGCATTGCTGTTTCCATTCCACAGAAGAGGAAACTCAGGCCTAGGGAGGGACAGCAAGATGGCCCATGTCACTCCTGCAAAGACAAAGCCAGGCCTGGAATGCAGGTCTCTCCACCCATGGGCAGCTTTTCCTGTGCTCCACTCTTCTGGACCTGTCTCTCTTCCCTCGTGCTGCTGCCTCAGGCGGCCTCAGCCTCAACACCCACCTCTC